ATTCAACTTCACTGCTCTTACTATCAACTGATGTAGCAACACTGCATCACAATGAAGGCAGCTCATCTCATGTGCATAAAAATAAATTTCTGAAAGGCAAAACATTGAAGCCCCATAACTCACAATTTCTAAAAGATTATGCCCTTTACCAAAGCATCTTGCCAATTCAGGGATAAAATTTTAGCTGAATGGATGCATTCTGAACTTCATATTGAATGAAATGCCTTCTTCATATTGATGTACAGGTATTGATTACATGGTCCTCTCCATATTTGGATTGGGATACATGACATGGATAGTTCATACAAGATGGAGAGACCAGTTGTTCTCTTCTCTGAGACTTGCCCTCTCAAGAGTGGAGCCTTGGCTAACTGGTTCCACTTACAAGAGAAACTGAATATGGGCAAAGAGCATCTAATATTAGGTTGAAGTCGAGGGCTTCATAGAAAGAAGGTAGAGACCATACATGAAATGAGGAGGAAATGAATTGAGAAAGTGAAGGAAGCTGAAAATAGGTTGAAGGGCTAGGTTACATCGGGCAATCTAATAATTCTACACATAGGATATCTTAGAGGTTCCAACAGGTCCCTTCTCCAAGAGATGGTGTGAAATACAATGGTGAACATTAATTTTCACCAGCATCCATCTTAAAACAATCTGGCAAATACTTCTACATTTGCTATCTCAAAACTTGGCACCAAAACTCTCTTTCTCCAATAAACTTCATTGATAGCAGTAACTTCCACCACTTCCCTACTTGGTTCCTCCATCACCATGAGTGGACAACATGATAAACTGTCAAAACATAAAGGAGCTTAGTCATTGTTGCAAATGGGATGCATAGCCCAAGTCTTCAAACTTTCTTTGGGGTATTTACCCTCTCTTTTTGTATCAGAACTGTAGTCAAGTAGATTGCTGCTCCTGCATCTTCTTCCTTCCAATTATAATCAATTCATGGTTCAACATCAGTACCCCAAGGAGCAACTGCAGATGTCTCTGATTTCAAGAGAAGAATGCCCAATCTGAATCAGAGAATGTCCCACTTCAGGAGGCTCAGGCATTTCCACCAGCTTTGAATTTTTAAAGAAGCTGGAAATGGTTCAGTTCCATGTCGACTGCAGCATGTATCCTATGACTTAAACAACATTGGTCATTTTTCTGTATGGTATTCAACCATGCTAGCCATGATGCTTACTGTCTCAATGTCCATTGGCCAAGTAAATATGAAAAAATAAACTTTTTACATCACATGGTTGTGACTGAATTTGAAGTGAAATGTTCCACCTGTAAACTTTGTAATGAAAAAATCCATAGCTTTTTACCTCGAAAATATGAACCACATTTCTCTCATGGTTGTGGCTATGTTCAGGAATACTTGATTCAGTCCATCTGGAGTGACATATGGTAGATCCCATAATAGTTCATTTCTAGCTCAGCCAGGTTCAGAGCAGGCTTGAAACTATTCATGTTTCCTGTCATGCATTCAATGTGATTTTAACCTGCATAGCTGAAGAATCCAAAGTTGGCCATATTGTCTTTCGGAATGGTCACCAATGTAAGTATTGTATTGTCTAGTCAACTCACTTTCAGTCTATCAAGATAGTCATATTTCAGTGTTTCATGGGATAGTCCAATATGCATGTTTGGGTTCAGTCTGAGTCCCTCTCAATGGCAAAATGCACAAGCATCAGTTCTTGCTGTAGGGTCTTTCAGAAGAGGTTCCAAAGTCAGCCATATCAAGGTCATCTTGCATCTTCTGCAGAAAACTGCTAAACATGTTGACAGAAGCAATTACGTATCGTTTTTGCATGCATATCTTTAAGGATTCATATGTGGATCATCATTTCTCATGGTCTTCTATAACATTCCTGCTTGTCTGCCAAGAATGTAGCACATGCTACTGGAAAAAAATTTAAGTGCCATGATTCCATTACATAGCGCACACATTGTACTTCATTTAAAAAAAATTTAATTCATGTGTCCCCAACAGATGTCAACAACAACCAACAAAGATGTGGATGCCATTCCTAGATTGTTGTGATAAGAGAAATGATTGTGATGCTCTCTCATTTTTGTCATATGGTGGGTTTGAAATGTCTCAGGTCATTGACGCAATGATCAGTGATACAGACAGAATCTACAAGTCCCTAAGTAGAAAAAGTTAATTTCTGGATTGAGGTTTGACTCATCTTTGGCCACATGTTATATTCGGTGAAGTCTGGTGTCCTCATCTAAAAACTCTGCATTGTTGCTGGTATGATCATTTTGTCATTTTGTGGTTATATTGATGGAAATGAAAGTAAAAGATGGGCAGACCTGAACCAAATTGAGACCAAGTGGATAGAAAGTTTTAAATATGAGGAAACCTCAAAAGACCTAAAGGCCAAAAGCATTGGGAAATGATTGAGATGGAAATTGCTTGAATTTATCTAACCATGATGAAAGAAATTCAAGTGAAGTATTAAAAACGACCTATACAGAATTCTGACAATGAGACATAAACTCAAAACATGCCTCTGGTGAACAACAGGAGTACACCAGGATGTTGCTATACAGAAGGTGCCCAATAAAGCTGGATAAATATATCCAGTAATATATATATATAGCTCTACTGGATAGATATATCCAGTATATCCAGTATATATACTGGATAGATATATCCAGTAGATCTGACTGAGAGTGTGCATTGAAAATGGACACAGTACTGCCTCTGGAGCTGGAGCTGCAGCAAAAATAAAGTGTGGAAGAAATCCAGCAAACAAAAGGGAACCAGACACCCTCTTAGCTACAAAGATGTTCTGTCAGACCAATTATCAAGGAGACCATTTGCTCTTTGGACCATGCAACAACATTATTATAAAACATTCCTGCTAAGACTAATATACTTCTGATACTTAATAAGAGAGTTTTAGAAAAGAATAGGCAAAACTATAGAGGAAGACCAAAGCAGTTTCATGAAGGATTTAGCATCATGGTCCAGCATTTCTTCACCCAAAATTGAGAGGGTATTGGGAGAAACCCATAGGTGATTATATGCACTCAAAAAATTTTGGAAAGATACACAACTATGAGCTTTGAAGGAAATCACTGGAGGTAACGCAGGAGTACAAAATTTAAACTAAGCCACTGCAGTTTATTCAGTCATTATAATGTGGCTGCACAAACTGCAGTGGAATGGAAGGGATGAGTGAAGGACTCCTTCATGGCATAAAATGAAAACCACATTAATTTTTTTCTCTCATTTCCCATTCTTGAAATACATACGGTAAGTGAATGAGATTTGTAGGCATAACACTGACCTGGAGGGGTTCATATAGGAGATAAATAAATTTCAGCTTGCTCATGGTGGGAGTCCAAGGCTTTAGATGCAGTCATCAATGGAGCACTGTAATGTATGAAATCAGCTTGTCTCTCAATTCATGAGGGCTGGAATGAAACTCATTGCCCTAAAACCCAAATCATGATTCTTTTTGGGAAATCAAGTTTAATGCATTTTATGCGAGTATATGTCAAGGGGCTTCATTAAAGCACTTTAGCATTGATCAAAAGAAGCTAATCGTTAAAAAAAGGAAGTTGAAATGAGGTTCATATGTCTGCTGACTAGTTTTATGTACTTTGATAGGATGTCGAATACCACTGTCAATGAGAACCACCAAGTCATGCAGTCACTTCATTGGAAAGAGACATCACAATTCCAGGGGTTTGGACATGCCTGCTGCATTGCTTCCAAGAGAATCCAAAAAGAGTCTCAATTAGCTACTAAGGTTCTACCGGTCCCTTTACTAGTCAGTTATGTGGAGTGTGTTCTACCTAACTGATGTTACCTTTTAATACCGAGTACTCCAAACCGTCAGGTGAAGAAACGAGTTTAAGTAACCCAAGGAACAGGAACACTAGAGCACATCCCTGCTGCTCCTGCAACTGTGGTCTGATGAAGTTGGGCTGCTTCCAAAATGTACTCATGTAGAAATGTAAAATATACTGAAAATGAGAATTTAAAGCTTTGAGTAAAGGAAGGTTCCATATGAATACAACCCTCTAATCATAGCTTCATGGTTTCTCAGAAAAATAGTTAATGGAGCAGTTGAAAAAAATGTGTCAAACTGAGATCAAAGAAGTATAGGAGATTCAGCTAGAATTGATGAACCTTCTTTCAGCAGTTTGGGATATATTATTTGAAGCACCAGAGAAAACGTTAAAATTCAAACTTATCTTCATGAGTCATTATGCATGCATATAGGAGTCATGGAGGAGCAGAATTTTTGGCCATTTAAGTTTTTTCATGAAATATGTATAGGGTAATTTGGGGGAATATGGCCCTACAAAATGAAACCTGGTCATCATGGCCCATCTTCCAACTTAAACTGAAAATGTTACAAAGATTTTATAACTAACTTTAGAGGAAACGATTTACGGTCGTTCCGTATACGTTTTTTGGGGTACCGAAACCGTAGAAACCCAGAAAAAGCTCATCCAGAGAAGTGACCATATTAACCCTATAGTTGGGGGAATATGCCCACACAAAAACAACTCCAGGTTGTCCAGGAACATGTGAAACATGCTGAATACCTTGAAACATGATAAAGGACTCTCAGCAGTTGAAAAAGAAACATTAACTGCACCGAGGACAAACAAAGAAGTTGACATCATTACTTGACTCGAGGAACCGTTGTGGAAAACAGGATTGCAACGCTTTTGCTTTTGAGTAACAATGCAAGTGATTGGGAGACAATATCTAGAGACTGTGTATGTGATCAAGCATAGATTAAAGTGACTATGTGCAACGAGTGTAAAATAAGGTCTTGCATTCCAGGAAAAATGTTGCGTTGTTTTCGCATGTATGGATAAATAGAGCCAAAAATCACATCTATTTGTACATGGGATATTTACTTGCATTAAAGTTTCTTGCAACAAAACTTCTGGAGAATGTTAAGCGATGCAGGAGGTGCATAAGCATACCCTCATGCACGGCCTCCTCATGTACTGCATATTTTGTCCAGATGTGCAGCACATCTATCCGTATATCACGAGGAAGTGCATTGGATGATCTCTTGCAGACTGAGATCCCACATGAAAGGAAGCTGACACTATCCACAGGTCTGTGCAGTGCTAACATAAAATGAAGGATGTGTCCATAATACACCAAATCGAGATGGCCATATTTCCCCTTTTTT